CGTTGGGAATGGATGTATGAACTGCTCTCCAAGCATCGCTTTGCAGTCAAATCCGTCTTAAGAATTCCGTATGTTGACAACAATCTTCTAAGATACACCATATTGTCGAAGGTTACATAGGATTCTTTTATTCGCGCTGTTAAATTCTTTCTCATAGTCAAGGAAGTTGACAACAACACTGTCAAAAACATTTCCTGATACCGTTATTAATGTGATGCCCCTGTAGTTCTTACATTTGTTCAGATTGAAAAGTCAGAGTACAGTTCGAAAAGATAAAAATAAATGGCATATATGAATAAGTACTACAGAGTAAGATCTATAAAACAATAGAAAGTGTAAGCAATTTTGACATTTTCAAATTGGATAAAAGAAATAACGAATATGAAGTAGAAATACTTCTCTTTCGATACCATAGTATTACTTTTTTGTAAGAATAGATAAAACGGAACCATTTTTTTAAAGATACCTTTTTTGTTATTTTAGTATACGTTTGGTGAGATTTTAATTTATGGACGAACTTTCGAGTGACTCTAGATTGACCTTGAGAGTGTCCATCTAATAACTAGGACCAAATGAGGGTTATACACCTGTGTGAGAAATTAGAATTATGATTTACATTTAATGGTCAGGGTTAGGAATTAGATTTAGGGTTTTCATCACGAACTGACATCAGCTATAATGCTGAAACTTTATTTATCCAAATGAATGAGTGAATTTCGCACCAGAGTCCGAGACCCGTGATTGATTTGTCCATAAATTATAGTCTCGCCAAAAGCTAAGACACAGTGTAAATGACGGGCAATAATTTCATATTACATATAGCCTTGGTAGTTTTTTAATAATGTAATAAAAATAAATAAACATAACAGTCAACTATGCAAGTACTTTATTCATCTAACTAATCAATATTCAGCATATAATGATAAATATTTTGTGCCAAATAATTGAAAGCAGTTGACAAGAAGCCTCTGATCTTTTTACATCCTGATTAATGTTCATATTTGAACCCTTTCGAAACAATGGCCTTTCCAGAAATTTTAAACCACGTCAACTAGTTCCTCAGTCACAGATATTGTCACTGATTTAAATACTGTAGGACTGATATCTTTAATACATTAATTCAGATATAACAGAACCATATATCTACACTTATATTGTATACATTATGAAGTTAGGTCGTTATGAACTTATTCACAGCAATTTTTAAATGATATTTTATGAGTTTTAAAACAGTAGCGGACGCCTCTGTGTCACTGAGCCTCATCACACACAAGGGAAAAAGCAAGGTCCTCAAATACAACACGGAGAACACCAACCCAATCACACATGATGGAGAAGTTCTGGGAGATGTGGAATCTTTCATGTACCTGTGGTGCGTCATCGATGGACAAGGAGAATCGGCTGCAGATGTAAATGCGAGGATTGGCAAAGCAAGGAGGGTATTCCTACAGTTGAATAACATATATAATTTAACGCAACTGTCAACCAATATCAAAGTCAGAATCTTAAATACGAACGTCAAGACAGTCCTACTATGCGGAGGGGTAAAAGGCGTAAGTTTACAACAGTAACTTAACGGTGTACCATTTTTTTTATTCGAAAGTCAGAATGATGTAAATATGATATTCTTCATTTTATATGATTCAGTGTACACAGTATTCAGATGTTACCTTGGTACATTTTTCTCTTGGTTATATGCCTTTTACCTGAATAAACATGATCAGCTAATTGTGTATCTGGATGACTTAAGAAATCTGTTGAGTAGTATTTATGTATTATGTTGTCTTTTTCAAATACAAGAATATTAAAATAGCAAGAAATTTTGGTTATTATTTTCAGTTTTTTTGTGATGTGTAGTTGATTAAATCTGAAAATGATTTTATCAATCAATAATTTTTCTAATAGTTGAATTCAATAGTCAACTAAAGCTAAACCGTCATGGAAAACTTGGAAGCACTGGATGGTCGTTTCGTTCTAGTATAGGGCTCCTCAGCAGTTCACATCCATGATCCTGCTACTACTGATTTTTCTTAGCCATGTGGATTAGTTTCGTGAAAAGTAAAATCGCTGAGTGTGAAATAACTGTCAGTGTTTTGTGGAGAGAAAAAAGATTCTAATTAACTAAAAAATGAATTAGCAGTAATAATATAAACACACTACAGTTTATGAGTATTGTCGTTATTTTTAGCATTACCTATTAGTGAGATATTATCACTGGACGGCTGTCTTATATAATAAAATAAATACATTGTTGTTATATCCTAACGAAGAATAAATGAATGGTGATTGTTAGGAATTATATATGGACCATTATTACATATATTCTTATTGCATAACTATTAAGTAATTAAATTATATATATTTATATTTCTCTTATTATAAGCTTCCATTTGACCTATTGACTAATAATGTATGATTTACTAAAGTTATATCCAATTTGTTAGTGACGGCATCTCACAATCATAGCCACTTTTTGGCTTAATCTTGTGTAATTGTTGTTCTCTATTTTATGGTATGATGTGATCTGGTTTGCTTGTATACTAAATTAAGTATGTTTGAAATATATGATTCATACAGTGGAAGCTGAGATTGTGTTCTGGACTCAGACGAGCAGGGCAAGGCGAGAAGAGCTAATAAGGACTCAGAGTTGACTCCAGGCTGTTCGTACTGGTTAACGCGTCATTAGTTTGGCACAGTGCTAAGGTCGATCACGTAATAATTAACTGGACAAAAGTCATCATCATCAATCTGCATCATGAGGCAAGCGCTAACTTGGAATCTTGAAGAGAAAGGGAAAAGTGGATGACCAAAAGACAACTGGAAAGGATTACCCAGGGCAGAGTCGGATGGAGAATCCTGGTGAGGGGTCTATGCTCCTCTATTAGGGCTAACAGGTATAAGCAAATAGTAAGTAAGCTAGCTGGCGAATCCAGAACATGTATTCCATGCTGTTTGGGACTCATCGTTTGGATGTACCTGTAATCCTGTAATGACGTTTGCATTGGGACTCGGACGTATTATCTTTCAGTTTAAACAGTGAATACGTAATCTGTTGAATTACTGAATTTAGAGAGCTACACACTCGTTTAATGGGTACAATATTTATATCATTTAGAGAGAGGATTTGAATTATTCAGTTGTTATTATGCTTAATTGAATTAAAATTTAGACTCATGATACAGGTAAGTAACTCTTTGTACTCAACATCTCAGTGGATAATGGTTTTAGGATATGGACTGAAAGTTACTGGGTTCAGACATTAGTCTAAACACCAACCAGTAATGAAAGTAAAGTACTAGGTAGAACGAAAAGCCAGTTCAGTGTTCCGTCTCTGTTCACAATTTATCTCGTCTATAAGAGACCTGCTAACAATATTTGAACGACAACATATTTTGTAATGACATTCATTATGATTCAGTGTCTTAGATTGATCAATCATTCATAACTGCCAAGTTTTAGTAGCAGTTAATAGACGACTGAGAATATTATTACAAAATATTTACATTTTCTACCCGGAACTAGATCATTAAAATAACAATGGCATGTAGAAATTCATCAAAATGCTTGTTACTTGTATTATTATAAATTTCCAGCTATCTGTCAAAAGCAGTGAGTTTTATTTTTATAATACTATCACTGGATGAATATACAGTATATACTATGTGCACTAACGGAAGAATTATCCGTTTTCACTGACCTATCTAATTAAATTATTAAATTGTGTAGTCAATGTTAAATGTTAGTTTCTATATTGATTTGATGAAATAAAGAAGCTAATTCTTAAGCTATAATTTCATTGTTTTAATCTAATCTAGTTTTTTTATAAAGTGGATTGAAGTTACAAAGAACTATTAAGTTATCAGGGCTTAATTAAAATGGTTACTGTTAACAGAATTACTTTATTTACAGTATATATATTAGAAGTTAACTTGATTACAGACCATCGTCACTTGAACAACAGAAGGATGATTGACAAACTTGTTTTTAAATGATTATATGTATGGTTGCCCGCGAATGCCCTGGTACGACCGGGAGTGGGGAGAGTCCGTTCTCCCTTTCGAAATGCTCTCACATGGCCACGTGTATATAGCCTCTGCCAGGGAAGTCCTACTCACTGCCTTCTCGTGGCGGTAGTGTCTTCTACGAAATTGAGAGGATGAAAAGCGGACGTCCGGCGCTTTAACCGGGTTGGTGGACATAGAGAGTCCACCTAGGGGAGTTGGAAAACCCTGATTCCAAACCAATGGTTCACATGGGCTTCAGTATCCTGAAGGAAAAAATGACGTATGAACCAATCGTTGGCCACCGGCTACCATGGGACTGCATCTCCTTACTTTGCTCGACTGCCTTGTGCATCAGACCTTCAGGTCGATGGTTCCGGGTGTGGCCTCCTAAGAAAACCACCTGCTCCGGTTCGAGCACCCGGGCAGTATCACAGCCCTCCCACATATCAGATGAGATTTTTGTGGCGCATATGTGTTCGGTGCTCCCTTTTACCAATATCTATGTGTTAAAATAAACAAATAATAAAATAATATGTAATGGTGAACCAATCAACTATAAGAGAGGCAAGAATTAGATTCACAAATTTGAGTAGTTCATTGTAAATATTATGTTTATACTTCTATTTTTATCACTTACTAGCATAAACTATAGTTTACATGATACAATTACCTTTTATTGTACAAAAATGAAATCAAAAGTTATGCATTTCCTTTTTCTTCTTAAATTGTATTTGTGCATAATCATTTTTTGCTATACAATTTTATTCAAATACAGGTAAAATTTCTTTTTATTGATTTTCATTATAAAATAGAATAAATGTATGAATAAATAAAGAATTTTACAATCTAGATTATAAACCATATCAGACGTCATTTTCTTGTCAGTAGGACTTCACATTATTAAGATATAAGGGTGTACATATATTTTTACTATATAACTAAACCTATAAAAAACTTATACACAATTACATTCCTTTGATCAATTAATAGTAACCATTATATAGGTATATTATCTATCTTATTATAAACTTGATCAAATATATTATTAGTGAGGTTGAAATCAAAACCATATTTACTAAAATCAATTAATTCTTCATTATGATGATCATTATCATTATTATTATCATTATTATTGATTAAATCATTATTATAATCAATATTAGTTTCAATGATTGTATTATTGATTGATAATGATTCTGAAAAACGTGTAAATAATTCATCTAAATATTTTGCTCTTTTTTGTTTATTTGACCATGAATTAGTTTCATCAATTGTATTCATATTTATTGGTAATAAATGTTTAATTCGATCATTTGCAGTTGAATGAATTACACTTGGATATTTTGTTTGTTTTCTTATAGTGAATATTTTAAATTCTTTAAATGTATCTAACTTGACAACAATTAATCGACCATTATAACCTAATTGAATTTTGATTAATGGTAATTCTGATGAATTCGATTTCACTTCATCAATTGGTGTTAACAATGCTCTACCAATAACTGGATAGTTATTATGAACTTGATTATTGTGTATTATAACAAGCCATGCATTATGATATTCCATTGAGTATATAACACATACAATATATAATTTATCTGGTGTAAATTGAGCACATAATACTATAGGATCATTTTGTGTACCAGGTATTAGATTCGGTGAATTTAATAAAGCCAATATACTTCCATTTTGAAAATTAATTAATCTTAAATTAGCATCTATACCATAAACACCATCTGAGGAAACATCAATTAGTTTATCTACAATTGACATTTGACTAATAATTAAATCATTATTTTGTTTATTTTTTAAATCTAACACTATTATATTAAATGTTGAATTTTCTTGTTCTAACCATATATATTGTATAATAACTTTAGTAGGTTGTGCTTCACATGTAAATAAACGTTGAACATTAGGTGTACGACATAAATCATCATGTTCTTTTAATAATTTATGTAAATTTATTTCATATATTAATTTTTTAAAATCTGGTGCTTCTAACAATCGAATCCATTGTCCATTTTCTCCACAACATAATACTAAATATTGATCATTAAATATAATTTTTGTACCTTTGATAACTGGATGTTGTAAAAATGAATATCCTAAAAATCGTCCATTTGTAGACTCATAACGTGATAATAAAGCTTGAGGTTTTTCATCAATTTTATTTTGATTATCTTTTATTGAATAATTTTTATGTAAATTTGTTAAATTAAACAATTTTGTATTACTAGCATGATCTGGTTTCAAAGTATATATACCATATTTTGTTGACATATGAAATATAAATTCTCCAATAATAGATATTTGACATCGTAATCCAGTGCCACCAATTTTATTATCTAAATCATATAAACGAATTACTGTTTGATCATATCCCATATTTGATGAATCATTATTTTTTTCTTGTAATGATGTATAGTAATTTATATTTGGAAGTTTTGGTTTCTTATATTCTTTTTTTTCATTGTTCAATTCTTCATCAATCTTTTCTTTTGAATGATCAACTTTATTATCATGAATTATATTTTTCACACGATAAACTAATGCTAATCTTTTTCCATCTGAACTTAAATGACGTTCATATGGTGTATCTTCTAATATTGGTGTCATTAAAAAATCTGTTTGAAAATTATTCATAAAACCATCTTGTATATCTGGTTTAGTATATTCAACAGATATAAGTTTTTGAGTTATAAGATTATAATAAGAGAATAATTGTTGATTATTAATTTCAGTTGAATAAATAATATCTAATTCAGGATGATAATTAACTGTAGATAATTTTTTACCAATTGGTGTCAATGCCATAGGTCCTTGATTTTTTGAACCTAATATAAGTACATTTATATTTGTTAATATAATATTTCCATTTGTCACAATTATTAAATTGCCTCCTCGTATAAAATATGCTTCATTGATAGCTGTTTTAAATGTATCTATTCTATGTATTTTTACAAATATATTTGTATTTGATTTATTAGTATTGGTTATTGGTCTATTCATAGTTACATTAGATGTTACTTGTATTGATTGAGTAGTATTTAATTCAATTAATTCAATCCATGTTTTATTTATAGATGATTTAATAAAATGTATTAAAAATGAATTATTACTATCATTACCAAATCTTATTTGACTATGATGATAACCTTGTAAACCAGCAATTAATAACTTTAAATGTATTTGCCATATACCTATTATGAAACGATAATTATTAATATTATATAATGCAGCTAAATATTTTTCATCTGGTGATATCCATAATTTTTTTACACTAACTTGATGACGTACTTGTTCTAATATATTTATAGTTTCTAAATCCCATAAAAATGGTATATTCATTTTCTTTTCTAATGATACTTCTGATAATGATTTCATTTGTATAGTTTTTAAATTTTTATATAAATTTAATTCAAAATTTGGCTTTAAAGTACGAATTTCTTTATTTGATATCTAAGGGGGGGGGTTTGTTTGTTTTTAAAAAAAATTTTGAAAAATTGTGTTCAAGGAAACAATTTAAGGGTAAGATTTAGTATTAAAAAGTGGTAAAATTGAAAACTAAAAAAAAAAGCTAAAAAAATATTGTGAACTTTTCTCATAGTTTGAGTCAACTTTTAAAAATGAAATTTGTATAGTTGAACTTGATTAGGACATAATTAATACATTGACTGCTTGTTAACTGTTTATCTTGAATCGTAATACTTTCTGATTTCATCTGAGGAGTAGAATTCTTGCATGAAGGAACATCTATTTCGTTATTAGTAAGATTTATTTTAGGAATTAACCAGAGAAAATCTCATACATAAGCATTTTCTATTCAATTGACAATTACATACTGTCTGAAAGGGATTTTAATTATTATAATAATGAGTTTGATCATAACTAAAAGCTTCCGAAAAGTTTTGCAACTGTGATGTTTTGCTCCACAGTTTTGACTATTCTGATTTTCATCATTTAAGATCATAAGTAAATTGAAGCTAGAGCATCATGGAAAACCTGGAATCGCCGAATGGCCGTCTCGTTCTATTGTAAGACTCCTCAGAAGTGCGTATCCATGATCCCGCCCCGCGGAATTTGAACCCGAGACCTATCAATCCCGCGCGCGAGCGCCTAACCACTAGACTATTGAGTCGGCATCCAACAGTGTTAATGTTTAACTTGAACGAATCCACGAAAATGCTTCATCGTCCACCATTGTTTCCAGTGAATTACTATCGTACAACAGATCCGGTTGAACTCCACTGATCACGGCTTTTCACTAGAAGTCCAGTAAATAACTCTTAAAGCCAGTCACTAATAAGCATATTTTGAATAATATCAATCAACTATTGAACTATGTTGAAGTTAGACATTAACATCATTGGACACCAACTCATTGGTCTAGAGGTTAAGCGTTTGCTTGCGAGATCGATAAGTCCCGGTTTCGTATTACGCGAGGCCGGATCGTGGATGCGCACTTTTGAGGAGTCCCACAACAGGACGAGACGGTCATCTGGTGGTTCCAGGTTTTCCGTGTTAGTCTAGTTTCAACTGACTCATGATCTCAACTAGTGAAATTACTATAATATCCACGAAAACCCCTTCTGATATTTTGATTTTGTTACAAATTTCATTTTTGCTGTAGAATAAAAATGGACATAAACCGTATCCAATTTGTTCTTTTGAATGGGATTCAAAAGACGTCTAACACATTGTTAAAATTATTGATAATAAAGCGAGAAGGTGTTATACACATGTATAGTTTTATAGTTTATTGATTAAACAGAAAAAAAATCATAGGGTGATACTACCGGCTTTGGTTTCAAGGTTTTTTCCCCAGTAATTCGTTTGTTAACTCCACAAGAAGCTAAAATCCAACTACTGAAGGCAATTCCTTACAGTTATTCTTTGATCGATTGTTTTTGTATAAGAATGGTGACAAATACTTATTAAAAGTCTCTAGTTGATGTATATCTCTCTGGTCTTAATTACACGGTATGTGTAAAATCTTATTGAGATTATTATTTGAGACTATTAAAACATGCCAAATTTAGAAACATAAAATCTCAATGGTTGAAGTGTAAGTATCCCTTTTAAATCGCTTAGTAAATTATATTTCTGCTTTAAAAAAGTTCAAATATAATTTTATTTTTTTTTCCACTTGAAGTTTCTTCACGTTATGTGCTAAATGTATACTTTTAATGAGGTTTTGTTCTCTGAGTTGGACGGTTTGGTCGTGGAGCTTTCATCATTCTTCTGAACGACATCATCAGCATAAACTTCATATAAAAGTGAAGCGTTCAAATTTCTCCATATGTGTTTCACAGCTTGTTCTGTACACCTCGACATTAATTGGTTCTTATTAACCTTAAATTTTTCATTGTTTACTTCATCAAAATCATCCCCATGAACTACAAATCTTCTCCATCAACTAAAACTATACACTAAAAACGAAATACCAAAAAAATCTTAATATTAAAAAAAAAATATATTTTTACTTACCATAGTTAAATCAAATCGATATATTTGACCTAAACTTTTACAACCAATAAATAAATTATCACCTCTTATATTTGATTGAAATATATTAGATGCTAAAGGACATTTTATCCATGCTATTACATCATTTATTGTATTTTTTAATCGAATTTGTATATCATTATTATTTATTTGTTTTAATTCATTTTGATTAATTTGTTGTTTTCTTTTTTTTTCTATACTTGTTTTCATTGGTATAAACCATTTTGATGTACCAAAATAAATTCGATCATTTGGTAATATATAAAATGGTAATGGAACTTTAGTTAATATATTATTGATTGGTTTTAAATTTGGTATACTATAAACAATTCCATAATCTTGATTATTATTATTATTATTATTTTCTTTAGGTATATATTGTTTAATTAATATACTAGATCGTGTAATACATAAAATTTTTAATTGAATTGGATCTTTCACATATAAATTTCCTTCAATATAACCTAATTCTAAATTAATTGATAAAATTCCATATTTTTTATCATTTAATTCATTTATTGAATATGTTAATAAAACTAATTGATTATTATGTATTGGCATATAAGCTTGATGAAATTTATAATTTATCCATTTACCAAGACTAAATGAACATGATTTAGTTAATGAATTTACTTCCCATAAATGAATAATAATTTCATTATTATTTATATTTAATTGATTATTTAATTGATTCAATGGATTCAATGTTAATGTTAATAAAAATCTTGAATCTGATGAAATTGTTATAATTTCATTTATTTCTTGTTTATTTATATCATTTATAAATTTATATAATCCTATATTATTATATTTATATTGAATATTTAATAAATCAGGTTGTAATGGTGATTGATAACATATAGTTAATAATGGTAATAAACAATTGACTTTATTTGAATCACAATCAATACTATTTAATAATAAACGACTTATATTTATATATTCTGTATTGATTAAATGTCCAATACGTCCAGCTAATTCAATATTTAATATTGTTGGTATCATTGATAATTTATTAGATAAATTTCTTAATAAATTTAATAAATACATAATTTCATCATTAATTCTTAATTGATTTAATTGTCTTAAATAATAAAATTCTGTAATTATATCATTTGGTCTTAAACCTAATAATAATTTACTAAATATATAATCAAATGAAAAAATGACATATTTTAATAAATCTTGTATTGTTTCTGTACCTAATTTAAATAATTGATATGGTAATTCTGTAAGACGACGTGTATTACATATATAATATTTATTAGATGTTCCTAAAATTATTTCAGTAGTATTTAATTTCATTGATTGATTCATAGATAACCAATAATACATAGTATGAAATGAATCTTCATTATATTCTATATTACTATTATTATTATTAGTAGTAGTATTATTATTATTATTTATTGATTTTATTTCATATGAATGTCCAATTTGTTTTGTTTGTTGTTCATAATCATCATGTCCATTATTTAAACCTAACCAATAATCTGTTATATATCGATGAAATATAAATTCATTTGATGAATTATCATTTTGTTTTATATCATTATTAAAATCGATTTTATTTTCATTGATTAAAAATTGATCATGATTATTATTATTATTATTATTATTATCTAAATATGAATTCCAAAATAATAATACACCATTACGATAAGATTCATGTATAAATGTTATTAATAAACGATTATCTGTTTTAATAAACATTAAATATTTATTTATACCATAAATTGATGAATATAATAAATTTAATAAACAACCAATAGGAAAATATTTTAATGATATATTCATTGTATTATATTGTTTTCTTGCTTGTATTATATAAATATCATTTTGTAATAATTCAATTAATTCATTCATTGTTAAACCATAACGTGAACATGCTATATATGGCATAAAACGTAATAATGCTAAATGTAATATACTTTGTTGTTTCATAATAATATAAATTTGTTTTAAACGTATAATAAATAAATGACATAAATCATTTGGTAATAAATTAGGTAAATTAAAATTAATTTTATTACTTAATTGTATAGTTAATATATCAGCTAATAATTCTATATAACTTAATGTAATATTATTTTCTAAATTTAAATTGATTAATTGATTATTGATTTTTTCATTGATTATTGATATATTTAAATTTAAATTTTTTCGAATTAATTTTGGTAAAATATTATTGATTATATCATTTAATGAATAACATGATGATAAATTAATACAACAACCTTGACCAAAACGTTTTGTAAAATTTTGTATAATTTTTTCTGAATTTGTTGTAATTAATAAACGAATATATTGATTAGGTAATTCATATGGTAACCATTGAAACATTTGTACATGTTCATCTGGATATAATAATTCTATATTATCAATTAATATTAATATTGGTTTTAATGGATTAGCTAAATTTAATATAAAATTTAATAAACGTACAATTTCTGCATATTCACATAATGATTTAATATTAGAATAATTTATATTTAATTTCATTATTAATTGTTCAATAATTTGTAATAATACAGATTGTAATGATGTTGATAAATAGGTACGACCAATACAACATACAATTATAATTGGTTCTATTGTAGTTAAATTCGTTGATAATTGATTTGAATTCGATATTGATTGATTGTTGATTTCAGATTTTGAATGAATATGCTATATTATATATATATTGAAAATTTTAAAAAACAAAATTATAGTATTGTGACTAGTGCTACTTATATTGATATAAGTAGTATATGATATTAATTATAAATAGAATGTCTGATAGCAAAAGTTCAAGAAGATCAAAGAGGAAAAAATGGGAACAGAAAGCAATTGGTATGGAGAATGCAGAAATAATCAAGTTTGAAACGATTGACTGATATTTGGAAAAAAGGAACAGTCAAATTTTAGACAATTGAATGATATTTTGCAAATGAAGTATTTACTTTGATGGAGTTTTATTCTCTGAGATGGATGATTTGGTCGTGAACAAAACTATCAAAATCATCCACTATCACGAAGTATTTACTGTATGGTTTTCAGATTTTACTAAGGCGTTCTTTAATTCTGTGTTCAAATATATTCGATTGTTTTCATTTTTGTTTTCATTCACTACGGTAGTAATTTGAAAGTCATACATTAAGTAGTTACAGATTATACTAACATCCCTTATTTTTTATCTTATATATATGTTGTTTATTAGCTTGTAATGTTATTACAATGTGTGGTTCTTTAAAATAACGAGATATTTAGTTTGTTGAATGAAAAATTTACATTCGTTCTTTTGACTTATGAGAGAACAAATGGAATGGTGACTGTACAAAACTTCAAAATAAATCAATTGTACAAAGAGAGAGAGAGAGAGTAATTAATCGTCTTTAACTTTATCAGAGACATGAATCTTTGATTATCTTCGTTTCTATCATTTTGATTATATTAGTATAATTTAATACGTCTTGAAAAAATGGTTATTATAAGGAGGAGAAATTTTGAATGTAAAACCTCACCTATTGAATTTTTGATAAATGCATAATGTTATAGTGATTGATTTTCTAATCTTTAATTTCATCTTATTATTATATATGATCTTATGATTAATATGTAGAGGCTAGTATCTTCTATATTTGACTGCAGTAAATAATATCCCGTCAACTGAGTATTGAATACAGGCTGAATTCCCTAGTAGAACTATGGGTTTACTGGAGATTATTCAAAAGCCTGAACACCAGTTATAGAGACAGTTTATTGTTAAAGATTGGTAAAATCCGCAAGCGTACAGGAAGCAAGCACATAGTGAAACCAAGAGTATACGTGCTAAGAATCCATGTATATTTTTGAGTGTTAATCAAGTATGGATAAATTATTGATTATCTGTGTAATACAACCAATAGGAGAATAGATTGGAAATTGATGTGCAGGCATGTACTCAATCATACTCACACAGAGATTTACATAATGGATTAAGTGTTTAAATTACGGTGAGCAGATAAATAATACAGTAGTTGAATGGGCTTACTACAGATAAACCTGAATGGACAAAGGGGGAAGACATGACTGTGTAGGAATTTGAATTGATGAATACCAACTGAATAATACTTATGGCTAATATGTATTTGTTTGGATACAGACTAATCTGAACATGGATATGTGACTGATGTGTTAGGATAGGTGAATAACCAAATTGTTTATTATTACTTTCCTATGTTTAAATTTGGTTCAGTGTAAAAATCTTCACATATTGTATAACTTACCTAATTTACTCAGTAAATCAATTAGTCATTCAACGTAGTTATATATACAAAAATCTGAATGAGCTGCAAGCAGATAAGTAGTATCCAACGCTTTTTATAAGACTGTAAAAATCTACTGACCATTTATTAACATAAAACTCAAAAGCTTTAAGTAATACAATGCTTTTACATTTCTTGTGTATCAATAATTCGTTTTACAAAACATTAAATGAAAATCCATTTGATGCTGTTTGAAGAGAACGGTACTGGGTTTGAGTCCCGGAATGAACATCAACTCTGCGATGCAGGTATATCCAGCTGACGAGCCCTGATTAGGACGAACCGCGCATCGTGGATTCCACTGCTAGCCACTACTCATCTTTGTTTAAATTAAAAGTTTTTTTTAAATGGATGAACATTGATAAGTCAATATGTATTATCAAAGATATTTGTAGCAAAGTAGATAAAAATAAGTTTAAAATAGCGTAGGAAAAACAAAGTATTTCTTTCTAAATTTCACATACAGTTTTTTTCTATCAGTTCTGGGTAGATACAAATAATTGTCAAGTTTTATTATCTTTATTATTTTTCAAATTAATGAACTTCATTTAAACCGAAATGGTTCTACTTTAATTTCCTAATCGATAAAATTTTATATCAAGTTTAACTAATATTAAAATTAGATTGAAAGGAATGTGAAGTTGTTTGATATATATATATGAAAGAGATAATGATATATCAAGTACGTTTTGATAGATGTTAGATAATTAATTTGTATCAGAAGGAGTTCTTATGCAGATTTTAGTAGTTTTATAGTTGAATTCATGAGTCATTCGAAACTAGACCACCATGGAAAGCCTAGAAGCACTGGACGGCCGTTTCGTCCTATTGCGCAAGTACGATCTCGCCTAGCGGGGTTTGAACACAGGACATATCAGTCCTGCGCTAACGCTTAACATCTATATTACTGAGTTCGCATCCAACAATGTTAATGTTCAACTTCAACTAATCCACAGAATTGCGCCACCATCCACCATCGTCTTCACTCCGTTATTATCTCACAACAGACGCGGTCGAAACTCAGTGATCACTGCTTCTCACTAGAACTCCAGGAAATACCTCTTCAAGCCAGTCACTAGTGAGCATATGACGATTATAATTACAGAGGAATTTTGTGAATATTATAGTAATTTAATAGTTGAATTCATGAGTCAATTGAAGCTAGACCACCATAGAAAACCTGAAATCACTGGACGGCCGTTTCGTCCCGATTATTTGAAATAATTTATAGTTATTTGTTAAATTATTAATATCAGTCAACGAAAGTTTGGTATTTTATACAAATTTCTCTACTGATAAATTTGATTACAGCATGAAAAACATCGTAGCCAATTAACATAAATGTAATTTTATTTTGTAATTCCTCATCAGTTACTTATAACTTAAACACAATGGTATTAATTAATAACAGTTTGTGTATATAGTTCATATTATAATATCGGAAATGTTCTCATCGACCAAGATTAATACATCATAAATATGTATGGAAGAAGTTGAGACTAATAGACCAACTTATTGGTGATACTATAATTTATGAACAAATCAATCAGATTTAAAATAATAGGTCTTGGATTTCGGCATGAAATTCATTGATCCATTCAGCTAAATAGCGTTTTAAGATTATAGCTAATGTGAGTTCTTGATGAAAACTCTAAATCTAATTCCTATTTATAATCATCAACTGTAAATCACGATCCATGTTCTTCACATTGGTTTAAAACCCTCATTTAGCCTTAGTCAGTAGGTGGACATTCTCAAGGTTACTTTAGTGTTGCTCAAAAATCGTCCATGAATTATAGTCTCACCAACTTATCTTCAGTAGTTTAGTCTTTCATTATTTATTCGATAGTGGACATGACATTAAGATTTTAAGCTTGTTAAAAACATCTTCTGACTTACTACGTTTTGCCGAAGCCAACTTTATCAAAGGGCATGAACCAGATTTTTGCATTCAAAAAGATACTATTGTTACTCGCATCTTGTCCTGGTGACCTCTGTTTTCAAAGTATTATTTCCTAATAGCTTATAACTAGACAATTAATTTTTTCATACCTTGTTGATTTTTATCTGAATTTCTCTCATTCTAAGCTTATAATCAGTCTAATATTGCTTTCATCACATAACTTTCAATATCAATTTTTTTTCAGTAATTCGTCTCTATATGCTTTGTAGAGCTTTTTTTCAAGAGTTTCTATATTATTTAACATATAAATATTTAATCATCATTTCAACATCTTTCATAATTCTTCCATATTTATTCCCATTGTATTATTCTTCATTGATGAGAATATTCCCAATATTATGATATCAGGTATGTACATGGATCTTTATTAATTAATACTATTATGTTTAGGTAGTAAGCAACTGATGAACAACTATGAAATGAAATGAATTAACGTTCTTTTATTACATTCATTTTTCTTATATTGTCCAAAAGTCTGTTAGTTTTTATATAAAGTGGGCTTTATGGAGAAAATTATCCTCTAATAAATACACCTAAAAATGTACTACCACAACATCTCAACAACAATCGATATCATTTTAAAAGTGGATTAAATGTATGTATTATTTAAATGACTATTATTGACTATTAATTATTCTAGATTTAAAGTAAAAAGATTACTTTTAATAGTTGAAATCATGAGTCAATAGATGCTAGATTACCATGAAAAAATTGAAATCACAGAACGGGCATTTCATCCTGTTGTGGAACTTCTCGACAGTGTACATCCACGACTTCGCTTCGCGGGACTTGAACCCGGGACCTATCGGTCTCACATGCTAACGCTTTACTTCTAAACCAATGAGCTTCAACATTCAGTGATATTATTGTTTAACTTCAATTAATCCACAAAATTAGGTGATATATTTAACAACAACAACAACAACAACAAATTACATCAATATTAAAATTTTATAATCAATTATATAACTAACCATAAAATAATTCACTGTCCATCGTAATAAACTAGTTTTACCAGAACCTGGTGGTCCATAAATGATTCCTGGAAGTTTTGAATTACCTATTAAATAATTTTTAATAATATTGATTTCACGATTACGTGTTTTATGCATTAATTTATCATTCCAATTATAATAATAATCATCATTATTATTATTATTTATATTCAAATCATTTTCATCATTATTATCTATTATATATTTATAAGGTTTTAATTGAATATTTAATTGTTCTGTTGAATACATTAATAAATAATAATGAGTTTCTGCTTCAATTTCATTACTTAATTGTAATTTTGATTGTTGTTTAAATTTTATATTATTAAATAAATTTGTTATTGATTTTTTAAATAATTTTAATAATTGATTAATAAATAAAACTAAATAATTAATCCATGTTATATTATTTAATGTTAATGATTGATTCTGATCTTGATCATGATTAGTATGATCAGTATGATCAATTTGATTATGTAATTGATTAAATTGTTTCATTTGTAAACGTACTTTTGTTAATAATAATTTTTCTTTATCTAATTTATTATAAATATCAATTTCTTTTGATGATAAATTAGTAAAATCATTTAATATATGTATTGGTATAGTTAATTTAATAATTTGATCTTTATTTATATATTTTTCTAATGTATTAATTATATGAAAACATTTTTGAATTGATTTTGGATCAGGTATTAATTGTTTTTGTTTGATTGATTTATTGATTTCTGAATATTCAATTAAATGATCAAATAAAATTTCTTTATTATAAATATTTTTTGTTAAATTATATATTTCTTTAAAATTATTGATTGAATGAATATTATTTAAACCTTGAATATGACGTTCTATTAAGATACTATATTTTCTTAGATCTGGATATTTTTCAAGAAGTTTTGTATAACGTTCTAGATCTTGATATTAAAGAAAAGATTTATATAAATCATAGAGAAATTTTTTTTTATAAAGATTGTATAAATTTAATCATTGAATTCATGAAAAACTTGAAAGCATTAAATAATCGTTTCATTCTGAAAAATTCCATACTAAGATGAAATGGCTGTTTAGTGCTTCCAAGTTTTCTATGATGGACTAGCTTTAATTGACTCATGTTCTTACCTGAAGAATTAATTATTTGTGCTACTGATTTCTATGAGATTTCCTTAATGACTACTTGAAGTAACTGCAAGTAGTAATAAATAAACTTTAAAAGATTATATTGCAATTATACAATCTTTTAAATATTTATGCTTCCTAGATATATGACTAACACTTGTACAGTATGTTTTTTTTCTCAAGGATCATATAAATTCTTATCATTTTACTTAACGATGTGGTGTTTTTTTCTTTTAGACTGCCATTATTAACCCCGTAGATTAGTGATAATTGTTGAACAGTGATAGAATGGTAATAAACATTACGATGTACATCATAAATAAGTTATTTTTAATAGTTAGTAAATAATTGAGCCTAAACGTATCCTGAAATTTGCTTGATTCATTGATACATGTCATTTAAGGGTTTTAAAACGGTTTTTAAAGAAAGAAATGATTCGCATCAAACAGCTTTTATCAGTAATATTTACATGATTTAGTTATATTTCACAGGTTGAAATCATGAGTCAATTGAAGCTAGACCACCATGGAAAACCTGAAAGCACTGGACGGCCGTTTCGTCCTAGTATGGGACTCCTCAGTGGTGCGCATCCACGACCCCGCATCCAGCGGGATTGGAACCCAGGACCTGTTGGCTTCGCGCGCGAGCAATTAACCATTAGACCACTGAGCCGGCATCCAACGGCGTTAATGTCTAACTTCAATCAATCCACGAAGTTGCGCCACCGTACACCATTGTCTTCAGTGATCTGATATCTCACAACAGACCTGGTTGAACTCCACTGGTAATGGTCTAGCTTCAATTGACTCATGATTTCAACCTGTGAAATTTCTAAAAATCTCCACAAAACCCATTCTGATTTAGTTATATGTTTAAGCATTCTGTTTCTCGTTATAAAGTTTAGCCTCATTGATTATTCTTTTTTTATGTATTTCATTATAACACAGTTTAACCAGTGTGTAATTTCCTGTTCAGAAAGTTTATGGATAAATGACTTGTTTTCTCGCACTCTTATTGACCTATAATTCAATATTTCTTTATTATATATTCGATTCTCATAAAATTAATAGATAATTACTTTCCAGAGTAAACTATAATTTAGTCATGATTCACAATCAATTCACTGATATATTTTCACTCACTCAATCGAGATAAGATGGTGGTTGGAAGTAGTGAATAGGGAACTTTGGACCTAGGTTTCGTTCTACATGGCACTTGTCAACAAGGTCTACCTATAATCTTGAGGGAACTGATGCTGATAGCCCGGATAGCCAAGTGGTTACGCCTCTGACTATAAAGCTGGATGACACTGAATCGAATCCGCCAAGCACCATCAGTTTCCTCAAGATTATATAACATAATCATGGCTGTTCGAAGGTAGTTGGGGATGAAACAGAATATTAAATATGGTAATATCTGATTTATTTTTAAAAGTATATTTTTAATTGGTAACTGAAAGCTTTTTCAACTTTTAAAACTAAATAGAAATAACAAGAATCACAACGGACACTGTTCAAAATATATTCAAAGTGAATATAGCAAAACTGAAGCTTTAAAATAAGTAGTTGTTGATGAAGAGATTTTAAACAAAGAACATTTAATTGTACTTAAGGTATTAAGATATATTATATAAAACGTGATGGTTAAATTATTTCATGTCTGTAATGAATTAGAAATGATAAGTAGTCATTTAGATGTATAGATCGAGTAATAAGTTTATCTCAATCACCGAATCGCATATTGAAAAATATAGTTTGGTGTTAACTGAAATATACTACTAACTTCTTGTAACTACCTAGATTTTTTCACATCATTACTCACTCGCTTTTACTATGTATGAATCAATAGGTTCTATCACAATAATAATAATAATAATAATAATAATAATAATAATAATAATGGTAATAATAATTATTATTGTTACTGTTATTATGCTTGTGAAAACCCATATACGGGTAGTTATGAGAGGTGTATGTACTTTGGTTATATTTTATTCATAAAAGATACTGTTATAAAAATGAATAGCTGCTTGAAAATTCAGAAAACTTTTAAGATATCATTATAAAATATGGTTACTTGATAAAGAAAGGAAGAATTGATTTTCCCTCTCTTTAAATTGACTTTTTCAGTGGACTAGAAACAGAGAAGATGCTTTAAGAAGATCACTAAACATTGATAACTGAATGTGAAACGATTGTAATTTTGATGATACAGTAAAAATTATTGTCTATATCAGAGTATGACGTTTTATTTACTAGATGTAAATCTAATTTCAGTATATTTCACAAGTCATAATATCACAGAATATAAGATTTGTCATTTGTAAATTAACCTACTCAATTGATTAGTATTAATACAAGTAAATTTATGATAAACGATCATTCTGTTGACCATTAATTTGAATATAATTTAACAATCTTATTGTTATATTGATAATAACAAAACACTTCATAATTAACCAATTAAAAGATTGATTTCATATTAGAAAACACTTCAGGTATCTTTCATATCCTTGATACAATTTACTTTGAAATATATGTTTATACTGTATAATGAACTATATTGGTCCCATATTAATTTCTCATACAAAATAAGATGTACTTCAGTACGTCTTGAATATTCACATTGAAATCTATGAAGATGACAAGTGAATTAATTTGTAATTAGGTTAATGAAATTGACAGTTATATACAATACGTTTATCATTTACGTCAAGATTATTGATACTACTTTTATGAAATTATGTTTTTTAACGTTGATATTGACTTCTTTATAATTTCTATAGATACATTCTAGGGAGCTTGAATATTACAGTTAAAAAAAACGGTTAATTTATTATACCATATGATAGTTTTAAGGCGATTTTTTCATTATGACGCAATCTTTTAATTGCGATAATAATTTAAAAAAATCTAACTACTGTAAAATGATAGGAGCTTTTAATGAATGAAGTGTGAAATAGCCTAATTCCATATATATGGTAAATCATTTAATCGGGTTAATTCCTGACTTGGCAAACTTGTAACGATACTTTATTATAAATTGCTAATTATAATTAGTTAGTTACAAATGTGATTCGATCCAATATTAGGTCAAAACATCACTATCACTGAATACAAAAAACAATAAATTATATAACTTTGAGGAGTACCATCATTTGGACAATATCAATATTATTTATACATAAAGTTTGTTAGTTTGTGTTCTCACTCTCCTATAGTTAAATAATAATATATTGTTGATATAAGAAATTTGTTGTGTAATCCACCGTTGTGTTAAATGTTTTCAATCACATCAGTAGAATATAGTGATTAGAAAAATGGGTCCTAGACAATGATAATAAATGACCAACTAATGACTGAGTTTGAATAGTTTATCTCTATTATACAATATATACTTCTCGTTTACATTATCAAATTGTATGGGCATTATTTAACTATTTTCACAGTTTAAGACGAAATTACTGGCTTGCAGACATATGTACGTTACAGTAACGTTTTTATTTCAGAACACACGATATACAACTACTCATTTAGTTATTTGGTATTTATAACGCTTTATGAGTTTAAACCATTCATCACCATTCTTATTGTTTCTCATTGAATCAGGGATTTTTTAAAACTATATTTGTACTTCATTTCACAAAGTTACTGCTGCAATCATGAAAAGACTCATTAAGTTTGTTATTTCCTATCGAGTTAAGTAGTAAACACCTAAAAAATCCTTTGCAGGTACAAGTTAAACGAGTAATGTCTCTCTAGTTCATCTTATTCTTTCATTGAAATTATAATATCATGATGAAAATATTATGGCAATACTGATGTAATATAGTTTTAGCCATTGGCAATAAAAAAAAAGTTTCTTTTTAATATTAAATGAAGTTTATTAATGAGATGGTAGAGAAGATTTGTAGCTCAGGTGGATGATTTTGTTCTCTGAGCTGAATAATTTAATCGTGAAGCTTTCGTCATTCTTCTAAACGACATCATTAGCACAAACTTCAGGTAGAAGTGAAGTGTTCGAATTTCGCCATATGTGGTTCACAACCTGTCCAATACACCTCGTTTTTGATTGGTTCTTAGTGACCTTAAACTTGTCATTGTTTACTTCTTTGTTTTACTATATTAATACTTATCAACTGATTAGGGTAAATGATTATGTGAAATGAAAAACACTAATTTAATTTACTAGTTTTTTTTCTTTAAAGAAAAATTAGGTCATCATCATTCATTATTGCATAATATACACATATTTCTTTCATGATTAAACCATCCATTTAAACCTATCGCAAATGTCATTGATCTTTAATTATAATTTTTCATTTATTACCCGCATCAAACTAATTATGAACCATAATTATAAATAACGTTTGGATTTATCACTTAATTAAAATTTGCATCAATTTATGAAATAAATTATTCATTTAAAACAATTATTACCAGGTAATAACCGGTAGCTTTGTGAACACTGGTTATGTAATGATGATGATTATGATGGTCTTAAATTAATGGAATAAGATGTAATTGTTTTGATAAAAATCAATAAATTGTTAAAAGTTGTAAAATAAAGTGAAGAATTTTTATAAACCCTAAAAGTTATTATTTTTGAAATATATAAGTCAGTCAGTCAGTTACAACGTATGACCAAGAAACATATATGCATCAGTTCAAGTTGTCATACCTCATTAGCATAGCAAGATGAACACCGGATTCATAGAAGTAGTTAATTCAGTGGTGGTAATATAGAGAAGAAAGATTGCATATAAGGACATAATACAGGAAGAAAGATTTAGTTCGTAGAAAGAAAGACATGAAGCGATTTTAATCTCATAGTTTAAGGGAAGACAAATAGTGTACACACCGATGCCACTGTGATCGATTCTGAGCCATGTCACACAGAGTCTATAACCATTGGTTATGATAGTCACGCGGACCCCAACCAAGTAGTCTGCATCTACCAACATGGCTAAGACTAGAAGTTAGTGACTTCAAGCACTGATGCCACGTTTTGGTTTGGTCACCCCTAACTTTCTTCCAACCATCTCCAACACTAGTCAGCATTGCGCATCGTGGTAATCAGTGTTCAGGCATACGTAACACGTCGCTCACCCATCTTAGTCGATGATGATTCACAACCTCATCAACTGATTTACCATCATTCCCTGATACCCTGCTGTCCAGATCTTCCAGGTTTTCCATAATGGCCTAGCTACAATTGACTCATGATTTCAACCAGTGAGATATTAATATAATCTATTTTTTTAAACTGTTGTCTCATTCGATCTCAAGGTCTTTCCTAATTCCCCAAGTTCATTGACCCACATTTTTTGTAAATCATTCAAGGATTCATATTTTCTATTTCAAACTTATTATTTGTAACGCATTCACTTCTGCCATATTGATTTTAACTCGTTTTTTTCTACCTTTCAAGTGTCAATAGGTTTATTTAAGTTGAAAAATAGTAACCAACTTATTATGACCATGCAAACTAATAGATAAAATTTTTGGGATTTAAATTTGTCGAAGATTAAGACGAAACAACCACATGTATCCATCTAGTATTCTTTTGAGTATTCACTGAACTAATCCATATAGCTTATTTTTAAAAAAAATCCTAAGTCATTAATTTTCCAGAAATCAACAAACTTAGATGTGGTAAATTAACTTTATCATAGCTAAAAGTAATTAATTCAATTGGTCCTGTTAAGATTTAATGACATGTATTTTTAGAAAATTCTCATGAAATTCTCTTTATTTGCTACAATAATAAGCAGTTTAGATAAGTCGAGTATCACATAACAAGATTTCTGTCACCTTTTTGAAAACATGGATCATTTCTTTATTAATAGCTTGTAAACATTAGCAGAATATATTGTTGATTGGAACAGCTCAAATGTTTATTGCATGAAATGCTTATAAACGAATTGATTGGAAAACTTTATTGTTAAAAAAACGAGTAATTCTAACATTAAGTACCATCATATTATAAATAATTTAGCATAGCAACTGTTAAGAATATTATGAACCAATATCGATCTACTATAATTTCTTTTGTCGTTTAAAAGATAATACAATTTTGAAACTTGTTAAAACTTACTTTATTCGTATCAACTTATATAACTAACCTGATTCCAGGTATGGTTCCATTTCTTCCGAAGTAAATATGTTTTTTTCAATGCATAAATTAACACCTTTCTGTACTATTTCAAAACATTTTTCTGCTTCGTCATCCTTGTAAGCATTCTGAATGATATATCATTTTTAGGCAATGAATAAAGAAAATACTTCAGAACTAACTTTTCAAATAACGAAACACTAATCATTTTCAATACATTAGAGACTATAACTTGATTTGTAAAACAGTTTCCTGTGAGGTCGTACGAGTGTTGTCAAATTAAGATTATTGAAGCTTTTATGTACTCGTTTATTGGTTTCATCATATTAATGTCTATTCTAGGATCTCTACATACTAGTGAGTGGTAAATTATCCTTAGTTTAGTTATGATAGATGACAGGGCTCCATGAAACAAAATCAGTGACTAGATACTAGCTTCCTCCTAACTCATGAATATTGATAAATGATATCCGGACAATACGGGAAATTGAATAAACTAAAATGGAAATGTTACGCATGATGTCGTCAGGTAAACTATGACAGCATAATTTTCATGGATTTAGCCATTTTTGAAGTCCTCAATCATTTAAGCATTGTGGTAAATATTTAGGATTCTGGACGTCTTCAACATAATCTTGAGGGATTACTGAGTTAGCACACGTGATGAAAAGAAGTGGGCATTATTTTTAATTTTGAATAGATATGGAGCTGATGTACATCGTTGTATATTTACATACTGAAGCGGAATAATTTTTGTAGATTGTTCATTTATTCGTTTCCTAAGTTTCGACTTTCAGTCTGGTCTCTCAGGAAGTTATCTGTAATATCTCATTTACCTAAGTATTTTACCTTTCCGATTTAAATTCGTGTTTCATAGGTTTATGGGTCATTCATTCCATTCAACTTAGTACTGATAACTGGTCACCTTGTCCTAGATAAGCCGTGTGTACCGTTGTTTTGTGTATGTGTATGTATGTTTGTGTGTATGTATATATGCAATTACACGTGCAAGTATGCAGTGGTGACTTTTCCTGATAAAATATACGATCACTTGTAAAGATTTACCGGCTCATCATTTGTATTTTCAACAAGATGGAATCTTCGACAGTCCTTGAGTAAGGTAACATTAATAATGTTTAGAGGATTACTCTCAACTGTGATCCATTATAGTTCAAGTCCTGAAGCACTGAAAAATATCCTGAATGATGAGATGATGTAAACATACTATTTTCGTTGGGCTACGCGTTGAAAAATTTTGAACCACTCGATTTTAGATGCTCGAATAATTTAAATGTCATAAATGACATTTTTTGTTCCCTTTCATCCAGGTTTACAAAATAATTTGATAGTCTAAGGGATAAAACACTTACCGATCATATAATGCTTTTAAACAATAGGTCATTATTTATGTGTATGTCCTGAAGGATTAACTGCTGATAAAAACTGATGAGTCATTTATGTATGGCCTCAAGTAATGAATCACTCACACGAAGTACGTCTTTGATGTGCTTCATACTCATGCTAACTGAAGAGTTGGTGAGTGAAGCATCACACTTAAGCTCTCAGCTATCTCGACACCATTTCGTTTCTGATAGCAAATTTCTTAACGTTCAGGCTGACTTGTCGATCTTCAACTAAAGTAACACATGTATGTCCGTCGTTTTTCAAGCTCTATCTTGTAACAGCCCCAAACGTTTTGAGTGTCAGCCAGTATGTTGTGGAATACTTCATCGCTTGCTGGTTTCCGTCTCTCCGTAGCGGTCTGTTAACTTACTCCACTAGCGAAAGTGAGTTTTGGAGGGGACAACTTGTAGCTGGTTTAATTTTTATATCCAAATGACATCATGACTTTTGCTTCTGTTTAATCACAGTTATCACAGCTTCTACAATGCAAATGCTTCAAAGTAATGTGTTTTGACTGCAAGCTGCTTCATCATATGCAGAGATGTAGGCGACAAATGAACCTGTACCTTTGTATTGTATATTCATTTGCAGCAAGCTCTGACACAAAATTAATGGTTCCATTCTTTTAAAGAACTCTTAGTTCATTCTATAATTTGTCTGTGAATGTGCTATTTTAGTGAGAGCAAACTCCTACTTGAAAACTTTTTTGTTGCATCCGATACTCTATTAGAAACACAAAACTGGATCATATCGGCCACTCGTTGTACGTTGGATACATAAAGACAACTAGTTATGTGATCGGATACATTTCAATCTTAAGCACTACTTCGGTTCTTTTCAGATCTCAAAGTTTATGTCATAAAAACCACTGGAAATACTTTTGGTGGTTCAGTCAAGAGTCGTGAAATGTCATATTGGCTTTTGTGAAGTTAAACGAATGATGTTAATGTCAATAAATAATCTACCAAAATAAGAATATCAAAGTTGAAACTAACATTCTACATGCAACGATCACTTCATGGAGTCCTGCCTACACGGCACATGGATAGAGGTGTCATGTTTACTTCATTCGTCAGCCCAACAAGAGTGATTGTCCTCTTAACTTTAAAAAACAACCCGATTCGTTTACTTTAACGGGCATGGTAGAAAGCATTCGCCTCAGAAAATCATCTAATATTCTGTAGATAAGGAACATGGTTTTACTTACTATCTACCATCTTCGCCTACTAAGAATATATTATCTGTTCATTAAAATCAATTAACAGACTAAGTATCGATAAATTTAATAGCTTTTCACTTTGTTTAAGAAATTTATTATCCTTCTTACACGTTTTAAATGGCTGACTGTTTCTTACAGCCATTTTTTGACAAAGAACGTTTAGTGTTTATCATCCACCAACATATTTTAGCAACTACAAACAATAGAATACATAGGTAAACTTTAAATCATGTTGTTGACCTTCCTTAAATCAGTTTGCTCTGCTGTTTTGTGATCGCAGTTAAAGTAACATAGCTTGCCGTCACCAGTAATTTCAATACAAAGTTTTCTTTAAGATTCTTCACATCTAGACTTTAGTCGTTTTTAATTTGACATATTTAGCCCCATTTTAAACTTATATATTAGTTTCATTGCAGTAAGCATGCTAGAGAAGAATGTAAAGTCGGTTCATAGAATTCCAGCATTATATTCAAATACGGGTTGTGATAATAAAAGTGAGTAGTCACAGTTTATTGGTCCTCTGGGACAAAGCAGTATGCAATTGTACTCTCATGAGGCGATATTTTCTAGGGTTACCATTTCCCTGATACCCAGTGTCATGTAATCTCTGCCTGAAAAACACAAAAGTCATTCAATTTCGTTTCCCAAAGCAAGACATAATGATTATCCTCGGATTAACAATGGCAATACAGAATGTTGATAAGTAGTAGTGACTTACTGGTCTGAGTCGAAGTATGCAACAAAACGCCAACAGTTTTTGAGCCTTTATCACTCACTGTCTTGCTTGAGGAAATCAAGTAAAAAATATTTCGGATGCGTTAGTAAGAAGGGTGTGGTAGAACGCTCCTGTAATCACACGGTTAAAAATTTCATGATGATGATCACTTTCTTTTTAGGTTTCGAAGTTACACGTTTTGATGTGTACTAAAATGCACAAGATTAGTTTCAACGAGTTTCAATTCTGGTGCTATTAAATTTGAGGGGAGGGCCAGGGGAAAACACGAATTAGAACGAAACATTGGTAATAGTCACTAAACGTCACAGGTCTTGCAAAACTGTTTAACTAAATGCTCAGTTGACCATTCTCAGTCGGAATATCAACAAAAAGTAAGGGAACCTAATCATCAAACAGTCATTAAACGAATTCATAGACTTCTCATAGAAATCCTCCTGACTACATTTAACATTTAAGCAATTAATAGTGATAAAAGGTATGTCAAACCATTTAGACATACATGTATGCCTATTACGGCGAGACGAATTATACCCATTCAGCACCTAAGGGCTGGAATGACAAAACTTTAGTCACCCCTGTGGCATCTGTCAATTTTAAGCATTTTATTCTTACCAAAGATCAGCAGAGCTCGGAAATAATGTTTCAGCCTTGGATGGTTGGCCATGTGATTCTGAATCTTTCAAGATTTATGATGGCATGCTGTAATTAGGTAATCACTTCATGTAACTCGTGTTAGTGAAAGCTCACAATACAATTTATCGCGATACCATAAGTAGCTCAAATATACGTGAAATTTTCGGCACGGTACTGAAACACAAATCTTACCTACCTCCTTTTCAAATTATCAGACTTAAAGTCTCTGCTTCCAATCAGAAATACATAGCCATAAACTAGCTACTATCAAAATATTACTAAATGTTAACATGTTAACAAAATAATTAGCACGTAAAATGGAAAATTGGCATTATGGTTCTAAAATTGCACTCCAAAGACCCAACAATATAAGTCCTATGTTGGACAAAAGACAGGTTACGTTATTATTACTTAAGTCATGTCAATCACCACAATAAATCTTACCACATTTAGACGATAAATGTCATGCACTGTGTCGAACTGGTACGCTCTCTGGAATCTGTCACTTTCTGTTTTGTCTGAATTTTCGAGAACTTCTTTGATTGCTACATAGTGGTCCTTCTCAAGTGAGTCGATGATTTTTCTGTTCCACAGCTTTTCGCCTGTTAAGAACTGAATTTTTGAGAAAGTACTCTTCACTGTTTACCAGTAGAAAAGGTTGCTGTGGAGACCTGTTCCATTCTATCACTTTTTCAAGAGTAAAAGTAGTGCTGGGCTTAAGCTCAGGATAACAGTCATCATTTTGAGGATCAAAAAGCTGAATATTTTATAGTTAATGTCTCGATGATATCATGTTTACAATTAAATCACAGTTATAGTTCTCAAGACAAAACCGCTTCAAATTAGGTTCAACTATATTCCTCAGAACAAGCCTTTCGCACTCAAACTCCGGAAAATTTGAAATGAGAAAAATTCGCACCTCTGTGACCATGATAAGAACATACCGATACCCTTTAGGTATGTATGTCAAGGTCACCATTTCCAAGTAACTTAAGGAAACATAAAGTGAATTATTCGTTTATTATGATTATTTTCTGATGATGTTTGTCGAAAACGTACACAAAAAGTTTTACACACAAAGTGTTCTAGTTTGCTTTTCTTGGTTAATATCTGACGCGGCCTATGTAAATTTTTCTAGCGCTCAATTTGGTTAGTTTGCGGTTATTGGTCATCAGGAAATTATCTATAAATTACTGTGAAAATCATGATTTTGTGCCTTAATACTGTTGATTTAATATGTAGACTATGTCTTAGTTGCATATGATTGTCATTGGTCTTGTGTTATACTTTAATTATCGGGCGGAACTCCATCATATTTAATTGTTGATAAAATACGTATGACTGTAATTTTAGTCAGGGTGCTATATTATGTGGATCAAACAACAAATATACTTAAGTGTAGACTGAATTATTGATAAAAACATCGGTCAGCAAAATCTAAATCTTACTTTTATTTCTACCAACATTCCCCACGCCTCGGTCACTATGCATCGTGAAACAGCTTTCAGACCTTTTACCTCAACACACACCTCCTAGCCTACTCAATCTTGATACGTAGTACGATTGTAGGCTTGATCTCAAGTGGAATTTGAGTTGCCGTTACTGCTGAATTTTCAATATCGATCTTTGTGTTTTAGCGAACAGTTTATATGAGATTCATTGAGGGTTCCTGTCAAACAATTCCCAAAAATATCCTGTATTAGTAAGATACTCATAGTCCAAAACAAGTGCCTGCTAATGTCCTAGCCTGTCTTATTGCCACATTAGGTTCTTAAGGATGTTAGGCGTCTTGTGAAACAGTTAACATATAAAACTGAGAGCTTTATCTCAGTGCAATCAGTGCTTGTCTTTGTTTAATAAGTTTTTAAAATTGTTCTAAGCTAGCTTTTCTAATTACTGGTTTATGGTGCTGGTTGTCATATTTCCCTGATACCAATAACTCGAGGTCAATGCATAATGAACCTCTAATCAGTTACCGCCAAAAATGATGGTTGAGACATCAGCATATTATCTCTAGGTTTGAGTGACATGATCTACTCGAGCTCGCTTTCGAACGATTAAAACAACACGAAGTAAATTATCAACAGTGACTAGTATAGACACTTGCTATTGCTAAAATCTAATTCTTATCCCCGCAAATCTGTAGAAAACGACTTATTCAAATGCACTAAGTCCCAGTATTTTTACGAGCAGTTCATTATCGCTTGTTGACAGTCTTGCTAGTCAATGTAGGTACATTTTAAATGATCGTGTACATTGTGTTTTTGAAGCTTTGCTTATTCATATATTCATCTTTCTGAAAACAAAATCTCGTAAAATTAAGTCAGTAGTATTTAGTAGTCCTTCGATCTATAATAATCTCTTGAAATTCCCCCTCTTATTAACATTATCACAAAATCTTTCCATCTTCATTACGAAGTTTCAAGCCATCCAACTTTCAGCCATCGAACCTTTGCTTGTAATCCCACTCCATCTACTTTAGTCTAGTATATTGGATAGCATTGTAGCGTTTAAAATTATTTGTTATACTTATTTAAACTGGTCACCAACTGATTATGATTCACGTAGCCTATATTTTATCACCCACTAAGGTATTCTTCGCATACTCATGCCTAATACTACTGTGAGTTTATAGTAATGAAAAAAGTAGCTGCTTACCCTAATTCCAATCGTTTTTGTAAATAGTGCACATGATGTTCATGCACAGTTATATTGGATGAGTCGAAAGTAGTTCTTTTATAAAAACTTGATATTCGGTACCCACTACGAGTCTAGGTTGGGATAAAGACTATAAATGCATTGAGGAGTACCTCGAAACGTATCTCATCCTCATGTAAGCCATCCACCTGTCTTGTAATCTTCGCAGTAATATAGAAGCAAATATTTTAAAATAAACTATCAGGTGCATTCATCAATCATAGCCCCATACTCTGTGTAGGGTGTTTTTTGAGGATAACCACAACTGTGCCTTCATTGTAGAGTGATGGAAAACTGGACTTTAAATCTTTTTGATAACGCGACCAGCTACCTACCCAAATTATCGTATTTATTCTTCAAAAGGGTTCACAGGCGGATCATATGGGCTAAACGTCTCATGACGTTGAAAAACAGAATTTATCATCTAATTCAGCTTTGTCCTTTTTAGTCGATATTCATTAACCAAAAGGAGTAGCATGGTTTATTCAAAGTCTTTCGGATAATATGCCAGCTAATTCATTTTGATGTGTCCCACCTGGTGCTTTAGACTTCGCGAAAATTACTAATTGACGTTCTGTCAACCCCACGGGTTGCTTCATTCACAGATTTCTTAATACTATTAGATTGAATGATCTAAAATAGCCTGTAGTGCTCACCAGCTACAGCTATATCACAGCAATCCGCTAAAAATACACATGGCATTATAGACTAGTCAATTGCAGTCTTAAATATTAATAACGGGAAATTACAAACCCTCACTAAAATTATACAAACATAAAGATTGACTGAGATTTTTATACAGATCTCGTAGATAAACAGTTCTTTCTGTCACTTTTGTTATAGTATTTTTGTATACATGTGGTTTTTATATATGTTCAAGAGTAAAAAACTAATTATCAGATGGATGTCCACTCAATGTTGATGATACCATCCATCAGTATTTTTCCTATTACCGACACATATATACGCCAGATCCAGCGGTGGTTTATACTTGTTTATTTATTTACGCCTTTATTTCCGTCTTACTGTTATTTTAGCTCATGAAGGAAATAAATGCTCATGTTGGAGAATCATCCTTAATTTCAGAAGATAAGCTTCCTGAAACAAACAATATCGTACCTCAAGAGTTACCCATTTCTTTAACTATTTTACATAATCGCACGAAGCATCATCTGGTTTTTCAATCATCCACAACTATTGCTGAAGTTAAACAGTCTATAGAACCTTTAACACACGTTCCTGTAGATATGCAGAAACTAATTTTTCGCGGAATATTGTCGGACAATACGACGCTTGGGGAGTTGTCATTACCCGGTAAGGATGCTAAGCTGATGCTGGTCGGTACAAAACCTTCTGAAGCAGAGCAAGTTCGTTTATCTGAAGCAAATAATCATGCTAATGAAGAAATTTTGGATGATTGTCGATCGGAAGTTGCGATGGACTGGTCTGACCAGACCGAACATAAACAAGTTTTAGAACGTTACGGAAAACCGGAGAATGCTATGGTCGGAATATTAAATACAGAAGAAATTTTAGATCCTAATGAATGTTTACTTGGCCTTTGTGACAAACGTGGGCAAGCATTGAGGTTAAGGATTAAGTCAGATAGCGGAGAATTGTGGTTAGCTACAAAGGATGTAACTCATAAATTCCCTTTAGCCACTATCCATGATGTAGTCAGTCAACCTATTAAAGATCATCCTGAATATCATATAATGGCTTTTCAGTTGGGTCCCACTCCAAAGTCTCGTTATTTTGTGTATTGGCTACCGTCTCAGTATGTGGAGTCGATCAAGACAATGGTATTACAATACAAAATAATTTCTTCATTAAGTGGTGCAACCGGAACGAATAAACCACTTTAAAATAGATCTTTAATTATATATTGTAATCAATCGAATATTACATTGATTTTAAAGAACAAAGCTAGGATCAACAGCTTCAATATTTTTAACATGTGCATTATCTTTACTTTCTCCTTGAAGATTACCACCTAGATCCCCTTATTTCTAGATCTTACTAAGGCTTTATTTTTCACCAGCTTCCGAAACTCTTCACCATTACTTAAACTTTTTTTTGCGTGAAACCACTGTATTTATATGAATAAGATCAATCAATTATAAACGATGCTTTGCAATGTTCTTGAAGGTTTTACTTGGTGATATTATTTCAAAGTGTGTAACTACTTTGACCGAAAAAGATTTATTAAAATGGTCTTATGTATTTAAGTGAACGTTCAGATAACAATGTGCTTTGTCACTATTTTTAATGTTTGAAGATCATCCATCCACAAAACAGCAGCTGTCTTGAGTTTTTTTTTCATAACGTTCGGTTAGAACTACACTTCTTTTAAGAAGCTTGATGACCTGCAAGATTATCGTATAACTTATTAGTGTTTTGGATTTCACTGACTTCTCAGTTATCATAAACTAGTTTCGTTACCGGTCAAAAGACTTAGTTTAAAACTTCAACTCATGTTTGTCGATGAACTTCAGCTCAATACAACTGATTGTCTACTTTCATCGTCGTTGATTTGTATCGTGCTTCTGGAAATCTTTAAGGACTCCTTTTATTACCATTGTCCTAGTTAGTTGGTACGCAGATTCATTAAAGGCTTCGAAGCTTGTGATTAGCGTAAACAAATAAAGAGCGATTGTCAAACGAGGATATTTAGCGAAGTACTTACTTAGGGAAATTAAGGAACGGAAATAATTCAGGAATAGAGTTAAAAGTTTCTAAACTAGTATATGGTCAGTAAAGAATCAGCCATCAAGATTTGTATCTGATGTAGAGATGCTTTATACAATGGAGCTATGAATTGGTATTAAAAAGTCTGACATCCAATCTAAATGCTACGGGTTTGGACCATGCTGCAACTAATTTGGATTGAAAAGCCAGATAGTATCATTATCTCTCATAATAAGAGCATTAAGTACACAATTCTATATATAGTAAATGACTTCCATGAATAATTTACTAGCGTATAGCTTGACTTCGTGTACTACGCTCATGTTTAGTGTAATAAAAGTAGTTTATTTCTGGTTAAAAGGATATTGGAGTAATTAATTATTATCGATATAGAATTTCATGGTATTTTCATCGCTTAAATCACGAACTGATTCTAGCTCAACTACCATTGAAAACGAGGATGCACCAGAAAACTACGTCGTCCTAGTATATAACTCTTTAACAGTGGGGATCCACTATCTCACCACAGAGAATCAAACTCAGGGCCCTCGGTCTTACACGAGAATTCCCAACATCTTGACCACTGATCCAAGATCCAGTCGTATTGATGCATAAATACGAGCTGCAGCTCTGTACGTTTGTTCTATTTTTATTGCTTTGTCCCATTCGTTGTTGTATGTATGTATGATTGTACAGTTCTGCGAACAGAATGGTCGAAGGGTCTCTTCATTGGACTACATCGTTTTCAGAATTTATTTGAAAACATTGCAAGTTATTATTAGCTCATGAGAACCTAACAAAATGAATTCATGTCGTTCTGCTCAGAATACTTCTCTTACTCCTAACAAAAATAATCGGGATTTTGTATACGAAACTCTGAAAAGTTATTCAGGAATGAAATTTTATTAATTGTTCTGTTAATGATAACTGACTGTTAATAACTGGTAATTACAGGGAATCGGTGAGATTATGATTTTTCCTAGCCTAGTATCTGACTCCGGTTTGGTTGTGTGAAGGTGCTATGAACTTAAATCTTTCAATTAACTCTGTGTATTACCTAGGATAACCCAATTTGTGTGACGGTGGTAATTAGAAGCCAAATACGGGTTGCGTTAAGTGAATTCATTTTGAGCACTCGTTTATCCAGATAAACATTAAGAATGAAAAGTGGGAAAGCAAAGCGAAGAAGTCGAGTAAGTTATATCGTTTTGATAAAGCAAGACGCGATACTTATAGTCAGACAAAAGCTGCAGACACGTAATGAATCGTCTAAGCAATACACACACGCTCATATAAAAGCAGTCAAGGTTAATAAGTGAATGATTGACAAGGTCAAAATGTGGCTCGAGAAAAATGAATACATTGGTCTTTCCGAAAACTAGAATAGCCCTCCTGGGCTTGACATATTACTAGACGCAACAGAGTCTTAGTCATTAAACACTAACTTGATTCACCTCTATGGTGTTCTTCATTCCTCTCCACCCATTACGTTGCACGTTACACTACTTATCAATAGTCAGTAGTTTGAATTACTTAGACTATTTTCGTGACCTGCTTACCATAACTGATATTTCTGTTTGGTGTCAGCTATGTGCTCATCTTCGTTTATTCTTCCTCGTTCCCACTACTCTTAAAACCCGTCTTGAACGACCTGTACATTTTTAAATTTTCTATCAGGCATGCGTTGACAGTCACTAACAGGTGAGCACTATTTATTATTCTTGTGAGTATTCTCCTCTTACTGTGTTTTCGACAGCGTATTTGCCACCTCATAGTTCCAGTTTTGCAAACACAGTGTTTATTTTGTTTTTCACAACTACCACACTCAAACAGATCTAGTCGTGTTGTTTCTCGAATGTTAAGCGTAACTTCGTTGTTTAGACTCAAAGATTTTTTATATGTCATTACTGTGGACAACTGAATCTAATATATGAGTTGTGCGACAAAATCCCAAAGTGAAGAACTCAGTTTATTTCATTTACGGCATTATTATGATATATATAGTGAGGTGTTAATCACACTGCCGACGAAAGTATTATAAATGAGGAAACAATATGGTTTCTACTTGTTGAAATTTACATTTATTAGTTTCAAAATTCACGTAATCAGGAAAATAGACTCACAAAAAGATGGAAAGTTGATGTCGACTACACACCGAATCACATTAATTTCATTAGAATGATGACAGGGATAGTGTTTATCTAGTCTTGTAACACTGACTGAATAATATCGATCATGTTCCGGCTTGGTTAGATATCTTAGTGACTCTGCATGACATTAGTCAATAATCAGCAACCAGTCAATCTTAAATATCTCGGTTTTACAGGAACGTGATAATTTATGGGCGAAACAATCATGTATAAGATAATAGGTTTCGGATTTTGGTGCGAAATTCACTCATCCATTTGGATAAATAGAGTTTTGGCATTATAGCTGATGTCAGTTCGTGATGAAAACCTGAAATCTAATTCATAACCTTAACCACCAACTGTAAATTATGATTCTAATTCCTCGCACAGGTTGATATCCCTCATTTAGTCCTGATTACTAGGTGGACACTCTCAAGGTCAGCCTAGCTACATTATCTAGTAATGTATCAATAGTAAAGTTTAATGACTCTGAGAAAAGAGTATACAGACAATAGGTTTACACTGTTCAAGTTACTGGACATTCGTATCTTTACTGGACAGAATTTTCATGTCTCATCACATTGTGACAAGTGTCAGCAATAAGAAAAGACAAACGAAAAACCACCAACTTTATGTCACTTTTCAAAACACCATTAATTAACGATGCTGTTTTTTCCTACAGAACACCAACCAATTGCTCAATATCTAATGGATACTCACAAATCAAACCTCAGAAATTTCTTATTCTATAACCACTTCATTACAGATCGTAAAATGACCAATGGATGTTAAAGTCAACTCATCTCATTAACTATTCTTATTTTCAGAAGGGTTTTGTGGAGATTGTAGTAATTTCAATAGTTGAGATCATTAGTCAATTTAAGTTAGACAACCATGAAAAACCTGGAATAACTGCACGGCCATTTCGTCATATTGTGGGACTCCCCAGCAGTGTGTATCCACGACCTCTCCTCGTTGAACTGGAACCTAGGACCTATCGGTCTCGCGCGCGAGCGTCTAACCATTAGACCACTAAGTCGGCATCCGACGGTGTTAATGTCTAACTTCAACTAATCCACGAAATTGAGCGAAACATCCACCATTGTCGTCAGTGAATTACTATCTCATAACTGACTCGGTTGAACTCCACTAGTCACTACTTCTCACTAGAACTCCAGGATATACATCTTGATGCCAGTCACTAGTGAGCATATGTTTGTTCATATCATAAGGAGTTTTGTGTAGACTCATAGGACCTGGGTTCGAATCCTGAAATTCTATACTTCTCTAGAACACTAATCAGTTTATCACACTAGAAACAAAGTCTTATCACACTATATCGTTCGTTTACAGATATATAAAATTAATTTTAGAGAAAACAGTTAAAAATATTCTCAAACTATATACTATAGAAAAATCTCACAATACAATATATAATAACAATTTTACATTATTCAAATTTAAATGCTTATTTGACTGTTATTAACCTTCTTTAAGAAATTGCTCATATAATTGAATGATATGTATTATAGTTACTAAGTAATTAAATTAATAAGAGATTGTGTTTATATTCAAACCAGTGAAAATAGATATAAATGAATAAATCAATAAGTTAACATTGAAAATGGAAGTGAGAAAATAAAATGGAAAGAAATCAACAAAAGGAAACCAGTTACTAACCAATAATAAATTAAAAGAATATACATCTTAATACAAAACGATCATGTAAATTGCTGATTAACCAATTAGTTAATGAATTGCTTAAATGATAAATTATGCAAATATAAAACTTTTTTTTAATTTGCTTCTTGTTATTCTCTTCTATTACTAACTGCATATTTGTTTATGGTGGGTTGAATTTTGTGTTATCATTAAAAAAAATAAAAGAGGGATTGGACAAGAACTAAAGTGATATTAATCACTATGTAATTAAAAGTTTAGTTAAAACCTAATTAATGGAAAACGCGTATAGTAGTCTAAGATGAATGTGTGTATGGATCTAATCATAAGAGAAAAGAAAAATATGATAATCAAACATTGGTTGATTTAATTTGATTAAGTGGTTTTTTTCTACCCAAACAAATCAATTCACAAGAGTTTTTCTTACAAATAAACATAAGATATTGAGTATTTTCAAGAAAAGATGGATAGTAGCTAGTAGTGGAATTCAGAACGAGCGTTTCGTTCTATTTGGGACTTGTCAGCTGGATTTGCCCGAACTCAAAGTTTATGTTCACTATGGGACTCGAACGCAGCATCGTTCACTTCAAACGCCATCATGTTATCCACTTAGTTGTATCTAATTTTCTTTGTGTCATAATTTTGTGACATACAAGGCACATAACCTTAAAAATAAAGTTTTAATGGTTTTAAGTTGTTATATATAACTCAAATTTAAACAAATAATTTTGGTGCTAAATATGTTAAAAAAAAAGGTCAATAATACCAAGTGAATTTAAACTTCAGCCGATTGTACAATCAAGTGGTTATCAGGACTCAGTAGCTAGGTGGATAATGCGATGGCGTTTAAAGTGAATGGTACTGGGTTTGAGTCCCAGAGTGA